GATGGACAAAAAATTTACCGAATGGAGACAAAGAACAGGAAAAAGATCTAGAGGTAGACCCGAATGAGGAGGACAGAGGGTGCAACCTGGACACGGAAAAAGCTGACAAATAGAGTGGAGGTGGTTGTCCAAGAGTTACATCCGACAGTGGACAAAAAACGCCTTGAAAGAAAAGAAAGAACACATTGTCAAGTCTATGATTATTTCTGAAATGCTTGAGCTACGGTTCCATTTAGGTAGAACAAGATTAGGCCTTTGCTGTGAGTCTGGGCTCCATTCGGCACTTGAACTCGTCAGGACAAATTACTGTCTTTGTTTTCCAGTCCTTTGGGTTGGTAGACGGGAGCGGTACATCAACGGGGGGCAGAAAACGATACTTCTGAAGCAAAGTGACCACGATGAAAAAGATACGAATCCTCGAGAAACTTTCACCAGGACAAGATCTTTTCCCAGTCCCAAAAGGTAGAAGGTTCTGTCGTGTGGGATGTTCTGGGTCGAGGAGTTGACCATCTGAGTCCAGGAACCTCTCTGGTTTGAACTCCCAGGGGTCTTCCCACAAGTCCTCTCTATGGTGGAAATACCAGGCGTTCAGGATAAGAAAGGTACCTTTAGGGATGAAATGTCCCTCAAAATGAATGTCCCCACATGCGTAGTGAGGTAGCAGCTGAGGCGCTGTTGAGGAATATCTCAAGGTCTCCAGGATAGTTGCTTCTGTGAATGGCATGTGCCGTCTCTGCTCAAAGCTGGGGCTTTCATCTCCTATTACTTCACAGATCTCTGCATGTATGCGCTCCTGAAGCTTTTGGTCCACCAAAAGCTGCAAAAATAAGGAATTCAATGTCCCTACTGTTGTTGCATAGGCAGCTGAAGCGATGTCTTGGATTAAACCAAGAATTAAATCATCAGGCATTTCGGAGGCGTTTCCTTTCTCCTTTAGCTCTGCCTGTTGGTCTAACATGTCAGTAACTATACCAGTTCTTTCCCCTTTGTGGTAGGTTTCTCGAATAGCCAGAAAAAACCTCTGTTTCATCACTTCTTGGGCGACTTTTAGATCACCCACAAGCTTCCTCAGGCCCAGTCCAGGGATGTGAGGCGCAAAAGGAACTGTTTCTAAGACTATTTCCTTTTCAAATATAAAACATTCAGTTGCTCTATCGATAAACCCAATCAAGGCATCTAAATCTTCTTCACACGTCTCTGGTCCTTTGAGTAGAAGTCCGACCACCCACCGAATGTAATGGGCAAGCTCCTCCGATAAAGATACGTCTCCTTCGTATTTAGTTAGGCGCTGACACAGATCCTTGGACGTTGTTTTCATCAGTGCTTCAAAGTTATGGACACCTTCGCCATAAAACTTAAGTAAGTGATGAAAGATTTTCCTTCTCTTGAGCAAGTCTTTGCCATAACGGCCAAGCAAAATGTCTTGGGCGCCATAGAAGAAAACTGTTCCCATGAAAGTGGGCGGTCTGTCGTTGGAGAATTCTCTTGTGCTTGGATCGCACACAAGTTTACGAGTGAGCGCAGCACTATTGACGAAAATTACCTGACGAAACAGCGTGTTTAACGATACGATATCGCCGTACTGGTCGGCCCACTTTGCTGCCGTCAGATGGAGAGAATCCTGCTTCATGCTCTGCAGAAAGTCCCACAGACCTTGCAGCAAGGACGGGCCCGGAACCGTGGTAGGTTTTCGATTTTTGAACCTTGACCCAATCAGGAATATCGCAGCTAGGACCACGAGAGCTATTAGGTACTCGGAGATCATCGTGACAGTGAGGGACCTGAGAAAGGAGGAAAACAATCATGACAATGAGAATTCCTACATTTTTTTCTCCTCACCTCCCACTCCCCTAAAAAATGCAAGCCGCTACCTTATGGAGGGCGCATCCACACAGGTTCTCTGCCTTCCCCACAAGAACACATCAGAGCTAATCTAAGCCGGTGCCTTTTTTTACTCCAAAACAAAACAAGAGTTATGGCGGTCCTGAAATTGAATACCAGAGGACCCCGCCCTTCCATTGCTAAATTGCAAGACTTACAGGCCACACTGCCCACTTGTTGCCTGTATTCCGGAGGCAAAGTTCGCCTCGGCTTCAACCAAAGACTGAAAATGATTTACTGGGCATCATCGAAGTCACACAGAAAACCCCATTACTTCCAGTAAAACCGTTATCAGCACCGACAACAACAGAGTTCACAGACAAACACAACTAAGGACCACCCTCCAGGCTAATGCCGTCTCGGTCTCCCTGCACAGATCCACCATGATCCACTCCGTATACATGACAACTTACTTTCCTTTACTTTCCTTTTCTTTACTTTACTTTAGATGTCCTCTTGTACCATCTAGGGCGTCGAGGGGAGAAAGAGCTTTCGGTCTCTGGAAAGCTGGATCGCCTGGCAAGGTGGTATGTTGTATGTCTTATGAGTGTCCTTCACACCCTCGATCTAGGTCTTCCTTGGTCTTCCTCTTGTCTTGTATCCTGATATCCTTTTGTTGCACTCTTTACTGGCACTCTGGGGGAGGGTCCATACGTGTCACATGTCCAAACCATATTTTTGTTGCCTCTAAATGTAGTTTAGAACAGATGTTGTTCCCATCATTTCTCTGATACTGTTGTTTCCGATCATGTCCCATCTGGTTTTGTTTATGGCTCCCCGCAGACATTTCATCTCGCAAGTGCTTTTCTTGTGTTCAGGACTTCTCCAGTTGTTTCTCAAAGACCACCCTCCAAAACGACCTGATCTCAGAATGCTTCAACTTCAGAGAAAGGGACGGGCTGGCTACTTAATGCTCCCAAATTCTAAACCCAACGTTCGGCCTCAACTACGGAATATGTTAAAATCCCATTGCAAAAACGTCTCTCCACCACCGGAAGACAAAGTCCTGTACCCTTGGGAATGCGGTGATGCCGTACAGAAACAAAAGACAGTATGTCAGAGAGCGTCAACGACAGCAACAACACTATCGGACGGTGGCATCTCTTTGGGGAGGATTCAGGGAGGTTGGACTGCCTCACACGCTACCCAAGAGAGGGGGTGGCCCTTTCAAAGAGCACGTTCTTCGGAGCTCCAAACATTTCGAACGGATAGGCTGCCACACACACACACACAAAAACAACAACAACAACAACAACAACAACAACAACAACAACAATGGACAACAAAATGGCACACAAAAAAGCCCCAGCTGAGGCACCTAGATAGCTCCGGAAGAATAAACGACATTCATTCAGAAAATACATCTCCAAAATAAATAACCGAATACCCATCAACACAGTCTTTAAAACCAACCAAAAATTTAAAGGTGAAAACTTAGGCACCACCCGACACATCCAAAACCTAGATAACACCTCAGAAAAAACACCAATAGACATTGCAAATACCATAGCCACATCCCTTTCTCAAAATTCACCCAAAACAAACTACAACAACACCTTTTAAAACATCAAAATCAATAGTGAACAACACATAAACGTCAACCAAAACGACAAAGAAATGTACAACGCAGACTTCACAAAAGACAATCTGACGTCAGACATCTCGGACGTGAGCAGTACAGCCCCGGGTCGTGAGAAACTACGCAGTCATACCATCAGACATCTTCCCGCACAAACTCTCACGCTTCTTTGAGACACACAACAACTTGTGGCAATCACACCCGTACCTAGACTAATGGCAGCTTTCCAATGTCATTCCCGTTCCCCCCCAAAAACTGGCAAAGACTACACACACACACACACAAACACACACACACACAAACACACACACACACACACACACACACACACACACAAACACACACACACACACACACAAACACACACACACACACAAAAACACACACACACACACAAACACACACACACACACACACACACACACACACACACACACACACACACACACACACACACACATACAACTACAAACCAATCGCCTTAACGAGCTGTCTAAGTAAACTTGTAGAAAGAATAATAAACACGCAAATCGTATTGTGTCTGGAGACGACGGGCTCGCTGAGCGGTCTTCACTGCGGATTCAGGAAAACTCCATCCACTTTAGATCACCTGGTCCGACTGGAGACTTTTAAACGTGATCCCCTTGTCGAAGGAGGCTGCAAAAGGCTATATTTTCCTACCTCGAAAAACCCCCAACTATCAGCACAACCTGGAAGTAACGTATCCTGCACACTCTCATCCTACTTGCTCTGAGCCTAGGCAGCCCCCCCCCCCAACCCCGACCCCCCGTTGCATACGTAGGTTTTGTCTGGTGAAGGTATTCCCCAAGGATGCATAATTTCCCCTTTCCTTTTTTAATTTAAAAGAAACTTCATCTTTCAGACCCTCCAAAACAACATGAACAGCTAGCTGGGTATACGTTGATATCTTTTTGATATGCTGCCGATCCAGAAATCCTCAACTAAGATCTAAGGAAATACAGCTCCAGACGCAGCCGCTCAAACTTGAAAACTGGATAAATGAAAACGGTTACAAGTTCCCCGTCCATAGTGGTTTAAGTGCACTTTTGCCGATTCAGCAGACATGTACTGCAGCCATGTTTGACATTTTACGGGGAAAGGAGTCATGACTAGGGCCAGGCTCGTTTCCTCGGAACTATCTTTGACAAGAAATTACCTCTCATAGTGAAGATCTTCCCGTGAGGTGCCAATAAGCCTAAGATCCCACTACAGAACCGAGCACAGCTTCCGCCTCGTCATGTGGCCTATCCGCGCCAGGGTCAACATCCCATCTAACAATATCAGAAAACAAAAACGTTCTTTACGCTGCGCAGTCAAACAAAGCTCAACACACAACAGCTCTGCACACTGCTGTGTTTTTCAAACTGGTCTGGGCATAAAGATAACCAATGCAAAAACAACGACAAAATTATTCAACCTTTTGATGAACATTTCAGGACCTCATAAACAAACAACTTTCAGAAACGAGACAGCAATTTCTTTTTCACAATCTCTCCCAGGTGGCACCTCACGAAGGCAAAGATAAACTGAAACCTGACAACACGCAATAAATCATGCACCCACGTTAAAACCTTCAATATCGCAAACAGAAAACACATCAAACAAACTCCCAACACAGAGAAAATCTTCACAGACGACTCTACATCTGGCTCAGCTGTAGGCTCCGCTGCCCTGTACACGCAAACAACACTCAACACAGGAGGCTCCGTACTGTCATTGACACAGCATTGGACTACACATTTCTCTGAAATCACATTTTCTAATCTTGTCCGATTTCAACCCTGTCCGATTCCTTTTCTTGTCTCACTTTACTCACCAATTTCAGTTTGTTAAACCTTTGAATAATTAGATTTCCGTTGAGGATTCATTTCTTGACTGACCAAAGACTGCATAAATTTGCATTGTGTTTGCATGAATACTAGTAGCCATACAGACATCCGTGGAAACGAGCAGGTCGAACTTCTGGAGAAGGAATCCTTGTCCCTTCTGTTGGGACCAACGGAGAAAACCCTCCTGCAGACAGACTTTAAACGTAGGGCCAAAAGCTACACCCCTAGCCTGTGGGAGGAAAACTGGAGCGCACAAGTCATCCACGAACTCAACAATATCGTGCTCGAAATGGATCCACGAAAGCTCCCAGTCTCTCCAGAAGAGGGGAAGTTGTTTTAACAAAAGATTGAACGTACCCCCTGACAAATAAATACCTCCTACAGGAAGAAGAAAAACCATCAGTTTTTGTGTGGTATTCTATAACAGATTTACGATCAGGCACATCCAAAGAAAATGTCCTAGCTGAAAAGAAACCCGAAGAAAATAATTATAAATGCACTCATCTAAATAGTGAGTTTTCCATCGTTGATCTCCAACAGAATTCTCGATTTAGTAAGGACCATTTGTTGTCTCTACACCAAAGTTTGATGTTCCTTTAAATATGCAAATTGCTGCTTTTAAAACTGATTTTTAGCATAATATATATTTAGATACTTCAATCATTGTAACTTGCAAAGTAGAACCACGGCGTGCTATGAACTAATGTGGGAGTATCCACCCTGTGTCCCGCGCACTCACTTGACCTGATGCAGTTGCAAGCGCTGTAAAACATTTTTACCATAGTGAACTGAAACTAAATCAGAATTTTTTTCTACATAATTTGAATAGTTACCTGACAGTAGAACTCGGATAACAAATCAAAACTTTCTGCTGTATTCCTGTTCCGTCCTCGACTCAGTATGTTTCTGTTAGCTCCGACAAGACCCCAGCTGTCGTTGAGGGATGGCGTACACTAGCAGCCTCCTCCGCCGACTCCAGTACTTATGGGTCACGCGGCCTCGGAACTTGATCCTCATCTTTGTTTGGAAACTCTTGGCCGCTAGTCATCCTCGGTTTTTTTAATGGCCGATTCCTGACGCAAGCCTGACATTGATCCTAGCTGTAAGATTTGTGGAATCCACTCTATGTTACTGGCAACCTTCAGGAATATGATAAGATAAGATAAGATAAGATACATCTTTATTGTCCAGATCTTGGAATATTGGTTTAGTGTTTCACCACGTGCACACACCACACACACACACACACACACACACACACACACACACACACACACACACACACACACACACACGCTTACACATACACACACACTCACACACACATACACTTACACATACACACATACGCATACACATGCACACACATGCACATACACATACACATGCACACACACACACACACAAACATGCATGCACGTACACACATACATACACACACACACACACACACACA